CCGTCTTGGTGCCGAGGCCCGTCCCGCTGCGACTTTCGATGACGGTCCAGTGGTCGGCATCGCGCCTGCTCTCTGCGCAGCTGTCTGGTCGGCGTCGTCGCCGAGGCTGCGCTGGTAGGACCTTCGGAGGAGGTCGGCCGTCGCCTCTTCGTGGTAGCTGGAGTCGAGCTGGTCGTGAGGACGTTGCTGTCCGCGGAGCCGCGCGCTTCCGAGGAGGCTTGCTGGGGAGCCAGCGAGGTGGTGTGTGGTCCGGCAGCGCCTCCGCCTCCCCGCCCCGCTCCTCCGCGCCGGCGCGGCCAGCCTGCGCCGAAGCCGCGGCCGCCCCAAGCGCGGGTGACGCGGGTGACCTGGGTGCCGGAAGGGCCCCGCCGCTGCCACCGAAGCGGCGGAGGCTCCGAGGGCGATGGGGCTTCTGCTGTCGGTCGCCGTCGCGCGGCGGCGTCACCGAGGCGGGAAAGGGTGGGGAGGCGCCCAGACCAGACCCGCGCTCGCCTCCCCCTCCCGCTGGAGGGGAGCGGCCCAGGGGGCTGATGCGAGTGCTCGTGCTCCGATCTCGTGTGCCAGCTTCTCGTTCTGCTTGGTCCGGTGGCGGCTGAAGCCGCCGGCGCCATGGGGGGGATGAAGTCGGGGAGGGTGCCGAAGTGGCTGGTGCCTGGGATGATCTCGGACGCCCCCATCCTCATGGTGGACCCGGTCTCACCCGCTTGGTGGTCGCCGCCATCGTAGTTGTAGCTGTTCCAGTGGGCCTCGTCGCTGGGCAACACGTTGAAGCTGGGGCAGAGACTGTGGGCGCCGTCGCTGGGGGCGAAGTTCGGGGTGGAGACCTGCGCCTCCTTCCGTGGTTTGCCTGATTATGTGGATCCTTGCTCACATGGGCCACATCAGGGGTCGGCTGTTTCTGGCCGTGGTTATGGTCCCTGGTCATGGTCATGGCCCATGGTCATGGGAGCTGTTGGAGCCCTGCACGGCCCGTGTGGCTCGAACCTGGTATAGATGGGCTGAGCGGTGTCGCAGGTCTTCATGGTGATGCCTTGCCTGGCAGCGCACGCCAGCCGCCGCGCTGCCGCGCACGCAGCGGTCTCGCGCCCGGGCGCGGGGCCGGGGCCCTCCTGCACCCGGGAGGCCTCGCGAGGCCAAGCCTCTGGCTCGTCGTGCTCGAGGCTCTGGCGGCCAAGCCTGGGCCCCGTCGTGCTCTGGCGGCCAAGCCTGGGCCCCGCCGCGCCCGCCGCTCCTTGGGGGGGGGGAGGAGGAGGAGGAGGAGGAGGATGCTGGGGAGGAGGGGGAGAAGGACGAGGAGGAGGGGGAGGAGGAGGAGGAGGAGGAGGAGGGAGGAGGAGGAGGGCCGCTCCCGCCGCATGGGCGGCCTGGGGGGGCCGCGCCGCGCCCGCCCCCAGGCCAGGCGGCGGCCGGCCACCCCCACGGATCTGGCCGGGCGCCGCGCTCCGCCCTGCCGCCCGCCGCGGGGCCCCACGCCCCTGCGGCGGGGGCCGGGCGGGGAGGGCCGCGCCCCCGAGTGGGACAGCGGATCCAGCCCTCCCCCTCCTCCCCTCCTTTCTCCTCCCCCCCTGCTTCTTGCCCTCTCCTCCTCCTCCTCCTCCTCCGCCTTCCCCTCCGCTTCCTCTTCCTGTCGCCCTCCTTTCCTTCTCCTTTCCTCCTCTTCCTCCTCCCTCCTCCTCCTCCTCCTCCTCCTCCTCCTCCTGCTCCTCCTCCTCCTTCCTCCTTCCTCCTTCCTCCTTCCTCCTTCCTCATTCCTCCTTCCTCCTTCCTCATTCCGTTCGTCGTGTTTAGGCGTACGTAGCCTCATGGATATTTCCGTTCTGGGCGCCGAGGCCCGTTCGAACTCCCCCAAGTCCCAAGTGTTCAAACCGGCCACAGATGCGTCATCGAGGAAATTGTGAGAATTTCTTGTTGTCGAATATGGCACAGTCTGACTTGTGCTCCTGATAAGCCCACCGCCTCCGCCTTCCTCCTCCTCCTCCTCCTCTTCCTCCTCCTCCTTTTCCTCCTTCTCCTCCTCCAGCGTGTGGATGATCAACAGAGTGAGGGCGATCAGCAACAGGGTGTCGAGAGGTCCACTGTATAGTAGTGTGATCGGTGTTCGATATCTGGAACGCTTAGGGTCCTGTCGCTCGAGCGATTCGGGTGGAAAGAGCTTGCTCGTGTCTGGGTTAGTCTAGCTGTTGAGATTTAGAGTCGAAACTGACAGTCGGGCGACCTCCGTTCCTCAGGACTGCCACCACCACCTCCTTCTCCTCCTCCTCCTCCACGTCCTCGTCGTCCTCCTCCTCCTCCTCCTCCTTCTTCCATCCGCTGCTTTCCCCTCCTTCCTTTCTTCCTTCATTCCTTCATTCCTTCCTCCTGCTTTCACCCCCTCCCATGTCTCCTTCCATCCTTCCCCAACAGGTACCTGGAGATCTGCCGGATCCACGAGGACCGCGCTGGGGAGAGCGCGGCCCGCGCGGCGCTGGCCCGGGCCTTCGAAGCCACGGGCATGACGCAGGAGCCCTCCGCCCGTCCCTACCCTGCTGTTCCGTGACCGCTCTACGGGGAGGAGGAGGAGGAGGAGGCGGAGGAGGAGGAGGAGGTGGAGGAGGAGGAAGAGGACGAGGAGGAGGAGGAGGAGGAGGAGGAAGAGGAGGAGGAGGAGGAGACGGAGGAGGAGACGGAGGAGGAGACGGAGGAGGAGACGGAGGAGGAGGAGGAGGAGGAGAGGAGGGAGGAGGAGGAGGAGGAGGAGGAGGAGGAGGAGGAGGAGGAGGAGGAGGAGGGAGGAGGAGGGAGGAGGAGGAGGAGGAGGAGGAGGAGGGAGGAGGAGGAGGAGGAGGAGGAGGAGGAGGAGGAGGAGAGGAGGAGGAGGAGGAAGGAGGAGGAGGAGGGAGGAGGAGGAGGAGGAGGAGGAGGGAGGAGGAGGAGGAGGAGGAGGAGGAGGAGGAGGAGGAGGAGGAGGAGGAGGAGGTGAGGAGGAGGAGGAGAGAGGAGGAAGGAGAGGAGGAGGCGGAGGAGGAGGAGAGGAGAGGAGGGGAGGAGGAAGAGGAGGAACAGACAGGAGGTCGAGGAAAAGGGGTACGCAGGAGGAGGAGGAGGAGGAGGAGGAGGAGGAAGAGGATGAGGAGGAGGAGGAGAAGGCGGAGGAGGAGGCGGAAACGGAAGAGGAGGAGGAGGAGGAGGAGCAGGAGCAGGAGCAGGAGGAGGAGGAGGAGGAGGAGGAGGAGGAGGAGGAGGGGGAGGAGGAGGAGGAGGAGGAGGAGGAGGAGGAGGAGGAATCCGTAGCCATTCTGGCTCAAGCCCCCTTGGCTCAAGCCATTTCCCTCCCATTTGGAGGGGTAAGGGCTCGAGGTGGCGCAGCGCCAGGTTGTTTCGCAGTTCGGAGCACCGCCCCGACGGTCAGAACTGCCAGCACACCGAACCGTCTGCAGTGATGGGCAAGGGTGGCAGCGGCAAGGACAAGGCCAAGAAGAGCCAGGGCCAGGGGAAGGGCAAGACTCGCCCCCCCCCAGGCTCAGTCCATGTCGCAGGCGCCGTCATCTGTTTCGTGGACATGCCCAGGGTGCCACGCCCTAGTCAGCTTACAACACCAATGGTGCTGGAGATGCGGCGTCCACTGGGAAGCTGAGGTGACATCGTCGGGCAGCGGGGTCTCCACACCGCAGCGTAAGGCACAGCAGCCTTCAGGCGCGGCGAGGGAGCCCAACACGTCAAACAAGCAGCAGATTCAGAAGCTGCAGGGCACGCTGGACTCATTGAAGGCGCTGGCGGCGAAGCAGACTGGCGCGGACGAGGAGTCCACGATGGAAGCGTCTGAGGCCATCGCGGCGGTCCGGGAGAAGTTGCGTGAGGAGCGCGACAGCGAGAAGAAAGTGTCCCAGCGGCAGCAGGCACAGTTCGCCAAGCTGAACAGAGCCCAGAAGCAGCTGGAGGCCCAGACGCGTTATGTTCAGGAGCAGATGCAGGCGCTTCAGGACCTAGAGGTCAAGAAGGCGCTGTTGCAGGCCGAGGTTCAATCAGCCAAGGCCACGCAGGCGGAGTTGGAAGATAAAGTGGCGGGTCTCAGGCTGCCGCAAGAGGCGGTGTATGATCTCTACACGACGCCTCCAGGGCTCCCCGACCCGATGCCAGCGGGGAAAGGACAGGCCGTGGGTGCGCTCAGCCAGTTCGGGGTCGCCAACGGACAGATGGACGCGCAGGCCTTCCTCAACAGTATGAACTTCCTCAGCACGGGGCTTGCCCCGAGTCTCATGCAGGAGCTCTGGCAACCCATGGAGAGCTTCGCCGCGGAGATCCGCGCCCGCGGTGGGATGACGCCACCTGCGGAGAGCGCGGCCGCCGCCACCAGCGCCGCGCCGCAGACCGCGGAAGCTGGGCAGCCCGTGGTGGCAGCACGCGAGGAGGCGGCGGCGGCGGAGCATCGCGCTGAAGCTGATGCCCCCATGGCCGCGGCGGCGTTGGTGGGCCGACGGGTCGCAGACGAGGCGCTGGCGAGCCAGGCGGACAAGAAGCTGAAGAGCGAGGGCGAGCAGGCAGCGGCTGCGGAGGCCGCGGCTCAGGCCGCAGGCCCATCGCGGGGGTAACACCTTGCGGGCGGCTGCTGCCGCCGAGGGGCTGCAGGTGTTCACCGTCAACGGCAATTGCTGGGCGACTGCAGCCAACCTCATCAAGCTCAGTGAGGCTCACATAGTACTGGTTCAAGAACAGAAGCTTCATGGTCAACGCCTTCTTGAGGCGAGGGAAGCGATGCGCAAGCTGGGTTGTGAGACATTCTTTACTCAGTGCGAGGTCACGACAGCCATGGGGCGCTCGGCCGGAGTAGCCATTCTTGTTCGTGCGCATCTCGACGCCTGGAGCGACCCTCGGCAGCGACATGATCTTGTAGCGCGTCGCTTGATTCACGTATACTTCCGCAGCAAAGAGCTTGGCATCATGTCTCTGTACTGTGCGTACTTCCACGACAGCGAGGGTCTGTCGCGTAGGAATGTGCAGATGGCGCAGATCCTGGGACATGACATCTTGCAGCGTTCTCTTCCTTTTGTGACCGGCGCAGACTTCAACGTGGAACCGTCCCTGGTCCGTGAAGCCTTCGCTCCGCACAAGTGGAATGGCCAGATTCTGATCCCAGATCCGATGGTCACCTGCTGCAACACAGCGCCAGGCAAATGCTATGATTTCTTTATTGTCAGCAAGCCGATGCTACATGCCATTCGGAATGTGAGCACGGACACGAACGCGGACATTTTCCCTCACCGTCCTGTAGCAGTACGGTTTCACACTCGAGTTGATGACATCAGGGTTCACAGGGTGATTCCGTTTGCGAAGCTGCCAGGGGACCCCCCCATAGGCCCTGCCCCGCAGGCGCCCGACTATGAGGTTCTGCAGGACAAGCTTGAGCACCTCCTGAGGCCCATGAAGATTGAGGGTGGATGTCGGCTACCGCAGGGAGGGGAAGTGGATCTACTTCAGAGCGAACTTGACGAAGTATGCAGGAGTTGGTGTTCAAAAGCGCGGGGAGGGGGGGGGGGAACTTGAGGGAACTCTGCAACAGACTCCAGAAGGTCTCAAAGGAGGTCAGCCGTATGATTCTTCGGAGGTGCCTCTTGGGGAGTTGTTGTGCACTCGGGGGAACCCCACGAGAAGCCCTTATAGAGCGCTGCGCTGGTTAGGGCGCAGATGCCACGAAATCGCAAGTTTGGTGCAGTCAGGTAAATATTATACTCACGCTAGCTACTTCACAAAGCTCCTCAAGGCCACCTATAGGGCTACAGAGACAGGAGGCGTTTTCAGGTACCACTACCCTGGAGGACGCGAGGCCTGGATGGGCCTACTGAGGGCGGCTCTTGGATGTTTTTGGGTACATTACGAGATCCTGTTTCTAGATGTGATTGTGCACGCTTTCAAAGCCCTGCAGCAGTTCGCAGATTATGTCGCCGCTCGGAGCCTGCCGCGAGAGAAGTCGGACAAGGCAGCCAAGTGGAGCGACTGGTGCACGGAGGCCCTCGCAGGTGGAGCCGAGTGGGCGCACGCGTGCACCAAGGTGGCAAGCGATCGTAAACAGGACCTCCATCTCACTGATGATGGTTACCACACGTCGTGTCTAACTCGTCAATTGGAGGAGGAGGAGGTGAAGTGGAGCAAAGCCTGGGGGGAGGATGCCATAGAGGAGAAGGAGGTGATTTGGCCGAAAGACATGGTGATCCCGAACCCCCCGAGTATAGAGGAGATTCGTGCCCTAAGCAGTTCGTTTAAGAAAGCCACCATTGCTGTGGATGGTTTCCATCCTCGACACGTTATGCTGCTTTGTGACGAGGCGCTAGGTGTTTTCCGGCAGGTTATGGCTGCTATGACGGTCGCGGGCGCGGTGCCCACGTGGATGAGGAAGCTGGTCCTCGCCCTTTTTCGCAAGCCAGTCTCGGGGAGGAGGCCGATTGGGTTCTTCCAGAGTGCGGTGAGGCTGGTGTCCAGGTGGTATTCTAGAGATTGTAAGAGATGGGAGCACAAGTTGAAGGATTGGGGAGTGTTCAGCATGATGGCAGGCAGGTCACCGGTTGACACAGTGTGGCGGCAGCAGGTTCGAGGGGACTTGGCGACTGCAGAACGCAAGCACGTGCTCAGCCTTCTTGCAGACCTCACTCAGTGCTACGAGCACGTGCAGTACCCCCAGCTTGTGCAGAGTGCGATAGAATGGCAGTATCCGTTGTGCACTTTAAGGTTTGCACTGCACACGTATGCGTGGGAGCGGATATTCAATTTAGATGGAGTGGTGCCCCAGGGGATTTTACCACATCAGGGGATTGTCGCTGGAAGCAGTACGGCTACGTTTGAAATCAAGGTGTATTGCATTCCCACGATAAACAGATTCCTGGAGCAGGGGTTTTCGACGGAGTTGGCGGTCCATGTTGATGATTTCAGCCTAAATGAAAGATGCGCAGACATGGCCACGTGCGTCAGGAACTTGGCTGCCGCCCTTGCTTTTCTGATAGATCTCCTCTCTCAGCTCTTCAATCTGACTTTCGCGATGAAGAAGTTCTGTATCACAGGCACCAGAGAGGATCTGGTGCGTATTGCCAAGCTGAATCTCGCCCAGCATGCAGGCCAGTATGATGTATCGCTGGTCAATTTAGGCGTGGATTTCAACCCAGGCAAACATAAGAGTGTCAAACATGCGAAGCAGAAGAGGAGGGAGAGGTGGGTGAAGCAATCGGGGAGGATCAATAAGATTATGAGTTTAAAAAATCCGAAACGCTCCAGGGCTAAGATATGGCTCTGCGGGGTAAAGCCTGCGACTACCTATGGCGAAGAGGTGGTGGGCTGGAACCCCCGAGAGATTCGACGCCTGCGGACGCAGGCCGCAGGCATGCTAGGACTTTCGAGCTGTGGAGCAGATCTCAACTTGGCCTTCGCGCTCGAACCTCAACGAGACCCTTTGAAGCACGCCTGTGCGACTATGACGCTCTATGCGAAAGAGTTTTGGCTGGCCTCTGATTTGATGCATAGACTTGGAGATTGCCT